CTGCCTTCGGTCTCCTTGCCGGCGGGGGTGGGCGGCCCCTGAAGCCGTTCGCAGCCCGAAGTCGCCTTCTGCTCGGCTCCTGTGGGCGAAACCCAGGCTGTCAGAAACGCAGAGGCCACGCGGCGGGGCCCCGGTTCCCGCCTGCAAAGGCAGAGACCCTGGCCCAAAACCTCCAGGCCCCGTGCGCGCCCCCTCCAGGCCCCCCATTCACTTAACCCCAGCTCCACAGATCCTTTCCCTCATCCACCAACCTGCTTCAGGGCCTTCGGGGTCGCCCTTGTCCTCGGGCTTCTGGGGCTCGTCCTCGTCATTCTTCTCCAGGTCAATGTTCTCCTCCTCCTCTTCGTCCTCGCTGCGGTTTCGCGGAGTCCACGTCATCTTGTTCTCCTTCTTGAGGCGACGGCGCGCGTTGGCGAACCAGGTGGACACCTGGGTGAGGGTCATCTTGGTGATGATGGCCAGCATGATCTTCTCGCCCTTGGTCGGGTAGGGGTTCTTGCGGTGCTCGTTGAGCCAGGCCTTGAGAGTGGCCGTGGCGTCCCTGGTGGCGTTCTTCCGGTAGGCAGGGTCCCCATACGGGTAGGAGCCCAGGGGCGCAGCGTACGGGTGGTACCCCAAGGAGCCCGCCATGCCGGGTGTGTGGTCGTAGGGAGAGCCCTGCGGGGGACAGGCAGAGAGGAGGTGAGTGTGGGCCTGGGTCTCCACGGCCAGTTGAACAACCGTAGCACACTTTGCCTACGCCCAGGGGTTTGCGGGCGAACCAGGCCCTCACTCCAGCTTCCCCTAGGGGAGGGCTGGTTGACTCAGACCCAGAAGCACACCGCCCCCCTCCTCAGAAGACAGCCGAGGCCCCAATTCCTGAATCTGGTCCTTCGGGGACCCCTGAAGCTGTCCGGACCTCGGTGCCACCCGGTCTGCCGGGGAACGACCGTGCCCTGTGCGCAGATCTGGCCTCCGCGCCCGGCCCACCATCCAGATAGAGGCCTGGGCAGGAGCAGGGACTCCCTGCTCCGCTCTGGGGCGACCTCACGTTGGGCGCACGGGGGTAGAACAAGAGAAGCCAAGGCTTGCTTTCTTTCTCTTTTAATCCACAAAGAAACGCAAAGGAAAGGCTGAGCCTTGCCTAGCACTCCCACCCTCCAGAAATGCTAACCCGAATCGAAGCCACTGCGCTTTTCCAGAAAGTGCACCCGGCCGAAAAATCCCGGATGCACCGCAGCTCGGTCGACTTTTCAGAAATTTAATACCTCCAAATCGGATTGTGAAGATAGGATTACGGATTTGCAACATTTTGGAGGATTAATTAAAGGCGAGGCCAAACACATTTGCATAGATTTAGCACGCTTCTGTTCTGATTTCGGATCTATTTCTTTTGAACTTTTCCAAAATGGCAAAACCAAAAAAATAAAATTTGCAGGGCGGCCCGGAGTTTCCGTTTGAACCAAATCCGGCTTTAATTGCAACGACCTTTCCCCTCAAAACCCTTCCCTCCACCTCAAGGATCCTAGCTAGACGCGGCTTTTCTCCGAACAACTCCTGAGCCCAAGGCCCGGACGAAGCCCAGCGAGACAATCGCCCAAGTTTGTAGGGACCGCGAAGCCTGGCGGGGGAGGTCGGCAGCGGTGCCTAGGCCCGTGTCCCCAGCAGCCCTCGCCCGTTAGCCGGGCCCCGCTGCCCTCGCCCGCGGCGGATCCCGCTCACTCACCACGTACGAGGAGAAGGCGGCGGCGGCGGCAGCCGCGGGATCGGCGCCGTATTGGAGGTGCGAGTTGTAGCCCGGCGAGGGCGCCGTGAAGGCAGTGGAGCCAGCGTAGGGAGAGAACGCAGAACCCGAAGACGAGCGGCCGAGCTCATCCGTACGGGGCCCCGAAATGACGCTGGTGCTGTATGCGGGGCACGAGTAGAGCGCCAGCGAGGCGGACGGCTGGTACAAGTAGCCCTGCGGGTAGGACATGGCCACACACGGGCATGGGGCGCGCCGCGCCGCGGCCGCCAACGAGCCGGGCGGCGCCCTGCGAGGGCGAGCGGGCGGACACCTGGCCTCTGGCTGCCCTGGGCCGCTGCTCCTCGAGCCCGGGCTCCGGGGCTCCGGCCCGCGGCGCCTCCTTGTTGGCTTCCCGCGCGCCTCCGGCTGCGACCGCCGCGCCCGCTCCTCTGCGCGCCTCGCTCGCCTCGGCTAGGCTTTTTCCCCCCTCCCCGCCCTTGCTGCTTTCTCTTTTTCCCCCCTCGCTCTTTGCACCGGGGGGCTCTGCTTTTGGCTTCGCAAAGGTCCTGCCAAGATGCTAAGTTGGAAATTGAGGATTCTGACGCCTTGTGCGCGCCCGAAGCTCCTCCTTCCTGGGGTGTAGTCGGTGGGAGGACTGGCAGGAGCCTCTGGGCGGCCACAGCCAACCCGGCCGCCAGGCGCGCCTCGCCCTCTCCCTCTTCCTCCCTGGCTCCCTCTCCCGCTCGCTGGCGTTCCCCTCGCCCCTCCCTAGCGCCCGCCTCTCCTCCGCCAACCCCCTCTCCCCCCTTTCTCTTGCCTCCCCCTTCTCCCCTCCCCGGTCTCTCCCTCTCGCTCTTTCTCCCAGACTCTCGAGCGCCGGCCCCAGGATGACAATCACATCCCGAGCGCGCCGATCTCCTCAACTTTCCTCCCTGGCTAACTCGGGGCGGAGCGGCAGTCTCGACGCTCGGCGGGCCCCGATAACGGGTCCGGCCGCTGGAAAGCACAAAGGGAACGGAGCCGCAGGCTGCTCGGGCGAACGCTCGGTGCTCTCCTCTCCTCGCTGTGAGCGGATTTCTTGTTCTCCGGGAGGCTGGGCTACGAGGTGGTTCGCCACCCACTCCCCACTGGCTTCTCCCTCAAGCCAGGGGTCCCTGGAGCGAGTTGGAGATCCGGGATTAAGGTCCCCGAGACAGCCAATGGATGCCGGCGCCCTGGGCGCAGGGAGTCCGGGATGACTGCCCCTCTGCGCTGGCAGCAGCAGAAGCAGCAGCGGCAGCAGCAGCAGGTGGGCGAAAGCCAGGCCTCGGCTCGGCCTTCTTTCCACTGACCGCCCGGCGGGACAGCGAGGGAGGCGACACTGGGGTCCTGGGACTGCCGAGGTAGCCTTTTTCTAGAGGAGAGGTAGTGGGCAAGAACTACCAAACGGAGAAGGTGCTACACTGGAGTAGGTCCCCAGACCTCCTCGCCCCCCCCACCTCCCCTTCCACCCCCCTGTGGCGCAGAGCGTCCTTCTGCCGGTTTTCCTTGGGCAGCTCGCCCTGCTAGCTCGGTAGTGGCGGAGGATGCGGGTCCCCTTCCCTTTTGTTCAACTAAGTTGCCTTGCCTTTCACATGCACTCTCGCACCCGCCCAAGCTCCACTGCAAACACTAGGCAGAGCAGTGCCCAACCCAACCACTGTTTGTTCAGCGAGGCGCTGGCAAGACAAACACAACTGAGTCACAGGCAGAGCCCTTGCCCACCACGGCCACTCAGTTAGAATACAAAACAGATCCTCTCCCAATCTCTCCGCCTCCCGCCGCCTCAAGTCACCGACGCACTCGAACTCTGGGACAGACAGGGGCGCTGGTGAACCAGACAGGGGCCTGCCCAGTGTCGGGCACTGCGGTCGAGTTCTGTGTATCAGAGACTTCGTGAGCTTTTATAACGGAGCCACACGCCACCGAAGCACAACATATACAAAGTTTCTTACAATGACTTTGACGCGCAAGACACACTTTATATCCTGAGCTTCAGCCAGAGCAAACACTAACCCCCAACTCCCCACACTGGCACCCGCCCGGCGGCGCGCCTTCACGCACGCGCGCTGACTCCTCCCCTCCGTCTGCTCCCCATTGAGGTTCCGCCCCTCAGGCCGACAGAGCGCTCCGGACTACAGTACCCGAGAGCCTCTCGGTCAGCCCCGCCCTTCCCGTTACACGGCCTTCGCCTCTGATTGGCCGCCGTCTTCCATTGGCTCCGCCCCGTGATGACGCAGACTCGCTTCCCTCCGAGTCCCGGCACCGAAGGGGCGGGGCCGGGCGGGGCTTCGGTGGCACTATTGTCATGGAGACGAGAAGCCGACGGCAGCGTGCAGCCGGGACAGGATTCGGGGCGGAGGGGGTTGCGAGCCCGCCGACACTGGAGCGAGGCGCAGCGGCCAGCACAGCCCGAACCCGGGAAGCGCGGAGCAGGCCAGTGGCGGCCTCTCGGCTCACCCTCCAGGGCTCGGGGCGGTCGTGGTGGCGGCAGGGAGCAGCCGGAGCGTCCCCGCCCCGCTGCCTGGGCTCCCGCCTCCCGCGGCCGCGCGGCTCCTCGGCGCCCGCCCCCGGCTCCGCCCGCCGCCACCGCTGCAGCCCTCAGCGCTAACGGTCGGTGGCAGCCCGCGTGCGCCGCCCGCCGGGGACTCGCGCCTGCCACGAGGGAGCGTCCGCGTCCCGCGAGCCCGCTCCGCGGAGCAGAGGTGAGCCCCCTCGGAGCCGGGTCCCAGTGCCGCGCCGCCGGCTTCCGCCTCCGAGCCACGGCCGCGTCCCCCCGTGGACCAGGAGGACGCGGCGGGGCCCCGCGCGTGGGCGAGAACCTCCGATGCGCCTCTCCCGGTGTCACGTTCGCGGGAGGACGCGCGCGAGCGTGTCCCCTGCGTCCACGCGTGTCCACCCCTCCATCACTCTCTGGACTCTGGTCCAGTAGGATGGGTTTCTGAAATGGAGCCGTGGAGGTTTGTGCCACCGAGAATCCGAGACTGTCACGCAGACATCCTCATTACATAATCCCACCACGCTGGACCCACGGCTGTTTCTCTCCCGTCCCCCCACCACCTCCCTGCTCCCCCCACCCCGCTTTTGGTCCCTTCTTTTTTTGTGTCAGGGAGGACTGGAAAGGATCCTGCAAGATATTGAAGCATTTAGAATTTATGGTTCTGTTGCCGTGGTTGTCACCTCCGCTCTACGTCAAATTTAAGACTCATTTCTTAAGGATGTCTCTATTTTCTGCTTTATTTGCACATTGATGGGTCTGCTGCTCTGCTGGTCACGGCCGCCGGCTTCTGAGATAGAATTGTGCTAATATGTGAAAGGGAAGGACTGATTATTAGTAGGCAGGCGGAATTCAGATTGCATCAGGCCAATGTTCTTTCGTTTTGTTTTTTTTTTTTTTTAGATGGTCGCTTTCACGTTTTCTCTGGTAAACAACGAGTTTTAACTTTGTATCTTGGTGGTGAGGCTCTGTTCCCCATTCTTTCCCTTTCTATTCATCAGCTTTTCCATTTGAGAATCAGTTTACTTGTTAGCAGTAGTTTCACAGGTCTCTTGTCACTGAATCTCTTTTCTCCACCAGCAGAGGTGAGATCAACCAACCCAACCCTCATCTCAGATTACCCACAATTTTTTTCTTGGCTTTTCTTTTTACTTAGCACTGCATTTGTATCTTTCTGAATATGTTAACTTACACTAGGGATAGGTTTGCTCTGATTGTTTTTAACATGGGGCTCTTAAACTTCATATTTAAACTCACTAAGGGTTTATTGGTTTGCCCTGTCTGCTTGGATCCAGTTATGCATAACTCTTAAAAGGTAAAGCTTTCAAACATGATCCATAATTGTATTGTCAAGACATGGCCATGAAGCTTGACTGTATAGTTGTCATTGTTTCAATCAAGTGCAAAAGAGGTTACTCCTGTTTGCTTAGTGTAATAGCTGTTTACTGTTAAAACTTTAAAGACTCGTAAAAGTAGGGCTGCTGTATTTTAAAGATCTCATCATTCTTGTGGGAGAGACACAACACCAACTCCAGGAAAGGCAACAGATTGCTTCTGTCATATCGCTTGGCTGTTTTAGAGTGTACTTAAAGGATTATGATTGATAAGGCTGTCTTGCCAGAGAATGTTGACACAGGTGTGCATCGTTATCTTAATTAAGATCCTGAGAAAATGTTGTCTATAAATGGAGACATAAGAAGGGCAGCATATTTTTTTTGTACAGTTTTGCTTTTGGAGAATTTAATTGCACTTGAAACCTCTCTTTCTGTTTGCAGATTTTGTGAGCCGCTTGGCAACAGAAGTTTTAGAGAGAAATGGTAGTTTAATGTTAAGTGTTCTGGCATGTAGTAGTACTACTTGTGGCTTTTTGGCAATACATCTTCTCAGCTCGCTTTCTTTGTACTCTACCTTTGTAGAATAAATGGTTTCTGATTTTGAAAAAAAATTAAAAACATAAGACTGCAGTATATGATTAAACAAACATTGGTGTTTAGAAAACACCGTTTGAGGAAGCCATGCTTAATGTTCAGAAACAGGAATACGAAAAAAAGGTGCATACTTGAGAAATGTATGCCATTGGAATTTTTTGGAGAGGAAAGAGTCTCCCATGGTGTCTCAGTGGTGGAAAACAGTTTCTTTTCCATATATCAAGTGCCTAGCTACAACATCCGTGGAATGCCTTGTTTTTAGTTCTGGAAATGGAGGAGAACTTATCTTTTCCAAAATATTGTTCTGTAAATTTGAATTGATGAGCAAGTGGAGAGGATGCATTAGTTTAAGGATCTGAATCATAACCTGGGTGACCACTAAAATAACATTACTGTCCTTCACTCTAAATCTCTGACTGCAAAAACAATGGCAAGGCGGATGCTGCTGATTATATTACCTTTGGCTTACCCAGCACCTAATACCCCTTAACATAAGGATTACATTAAGATTTCCCCCTCTCTTTGTAGCTCACTCTTTCCTGGAAGCTGGCTGTCCATCAGCGTGTGTGAGAGAGGTGTGTGTGTTTTCCCTTTAATATTAAAACTCATTGTAGAAAGAGGAAATGAAAGTAGAGGAGACCACAGGCATATGATCATGATCGGAAAAGCCAGGTGTAGAGTCCCAGCTCATTCTTGACTCCAAGGATAATTAGCTGGTTAGAATTACATGGTAAACTAAAATCAAAGGGAGACTTATTTAGATTTGTTTGCTCAAACTAAAACAAGAGCGTTAATTTAGAGATAATTGCTTTATTTATCCCTCAGCCCCCCATCAAAATTTTTTTTCTTTGGCAGCTGCATCTCCATCCTCATGCTGTTATCCATGTGTTATTTAAAAATTTATTGTGTTGGAAGAGATGAAATAGGAACATGAACTAATTGCATATCATCAGTTTTGATTGATAGCATCAAGTAATTATTAATATATTTATATATTCTAGAAATCTTAGGAAAAATTAAAAAATGTTCTTTAGTTGATTACATGGAAATAAATGAAATTCTATAATCCTGAATGGATTAAATATGTTCTTTTAAATAGATTATAAATATTATACTTTGAAACCATGTTTTTATTCTAAACTAGCCCAGCCTGTTTTTGAGTGGTAGTATCTCAGTATCTTTTTTTTCTCCTCATTATCTAGGTTATGTGTTGATGTCTGTATTTTTAACATCTTTTTGGCATATTTGGTAGCTGTTTGGTGGAGAATAATTTTTCTAAATAGGATAACAGCTGGCACAGTTTTAAGAATGTGTAGAAATTCTATTTTCCTTTTTAGTAATGAGTTTGGATTGCTTTCTCGGCACTACTCTAAAGTGTGATACTGATAACTTATTTCTGCATAAATCTGCAATGTTTTTATAGCTGTATTATACCTAAGCACCAATTTAGCTTGGCAAATTAACTTAAATGCTTCAAAATTGAAAACCAGTATATTCTAATGTAGTTTGAGTTTAAGTCTTTATTAGTGAGGATGAACTTGACATTTGTTCAGGAGAAGGGAATATAATTTTCTCCTGCAGTTGTGATTTATGTAATCCATTTTTCTAGCCTTTTCTCAAGCTAATGATATTCCACACCTTGATACAGCTTTTATTTGTTTATTCACCATAATATGGAGTGATACCTTGGAGAAAATTAGATTAGATATTCATATCTAATATCCCAGAAGTATTGCTAGTCTTCTGTGTTTCCTTAAACAGAATCATTTCCATTTTCTATACAGGTGATAAGTATGATGCTTCCATAATATGTTTGGATGTTTTCAGTTAAGTTCACTTTCAAACTGTGGGGTTCCTCCAAATGTTGGCTGAAATTTATTCTTGCATGTCCCAAGGCTCATCTGCAGGTGAGTGTCTGCACACACACACTGTGGGGATGCTTGTGTGTGGAGTGACTCAAAATAGCATGAGGGTTGGCTTTACCAAAGAATTGACACTGGTGACAGAGGCTAAGTACAGAAGGTAGAGAATTCCACTTGAGGCCTTTCAATATTAAAATTCCATTATTGCATTCACCGAGAGTGTAGTAAATAGAAAATTTTTGGATTCGTAGAATGACACTGGATAATTTATTTATTTTTATTTGTCATGTTTCCTGGAATTACATTGAATAATTCATTTGAATGATACTACTGGGTAGCGAAATTTATAAAGTAACTCATTACCTTTCATAAATATGAAGACTAAGATATTTTATAGAAATACAATTATTATTTTTTAAAAAGACTCTACTTGTACCAAATCACATTTTGGCATTATTTTAATTACCTAGTTCTTTTAATGGTAAATTTTGTGATCCGGTCATGAGTGGCGAATAGTATACAGGTGTAGGTAGAACTTGCCATTTCTCATTAAAATTTGGCTGCTGAATATAGGTGCATGAGAAAGAATTATTTTGCAGAATATTTGTGTTGTCTAGTGGGCAGAACAAGGAATAGGATTTAGTAACAGAATATTTTGTTGAATAAAAAAATTAGTATATGATAAAAATAAAAAGCTAGTTTTACAGAAGGCAATATAGTTAGCATATATTTTGATAGAAAAAAATGCTTCTCTGTGATACTTTTTAAGGCATTCAAGTGATTTTTACTGTAATGTGAACTAATAATTGATTATAAATAATAGACTTGACTTCCCCTGTTACTGATTGGGACTCATGGAAGGGAGTTTCGTGTATGGCCGAGAGCTGAGGCATTCCAGCAAGTGAGAAAACATGACACAAATATCAAGAAAATGCTCAGGGGGAGGGGGAGGGCAGTCTGATTCCTCTTTGTTTACCTTTAAGCTTCTTTTTTGTTTTGTTTTAAAGCATGTACAGAGTTGTTGAATTTAAGAGATGAAAGGATCTAGATGGTTGTTTCTTTTTCCTTCTAAGGATAAATATGGGAAAAAATCTAAACATATATGCAGATTTGTTGAATTTCACATCTGTCATCTGCCAAATTTATTATGAAAACTCATATTTCACATGCACTGAAGGTGTAATTCAAATATATTTAAACTCTGTTCCTTTTGTAATAAAATAGACGTGGGCAGGGTCTGCCACTGTAGAAACCAGAAGGAAGCGGCCTCCAGTCTTGGGCTAGGGTTGATTAATGGATAAGGTCATACTAAATGTTCTCTGGTGGAAATAGCTAACGAGTATGCTTTTTGAGAAATGTATCATTCAGGAATAAAATCAATTGAAGAATTGGTAATTAAATTGTGATCCCACGAAGGAAGGAAGAGGAAGGAGAGTGGGGGCTAACCATTCTGTTCTTCTTTCCAGGAGTCCACAGTTCCTGATGGATCTAGTGTCCTGGCTGTAGGAAGAGGAGAGTCTGCAGACAGGAAGGTAATATTCTCTCTTTTAAAAGAAGACTTTTCTTTGTAATCCTGAATCATCCTTATATATATAAGAATTTTATCCACTAGACAGCTTTTTCTTTGAATTTGGGATATGCAAGCAGACTTATTTTCCTCTGCTAAGTTTTTGAGCCTGCTTCTCTTAGGGTATGTCAGGGCTGCGTTGGGAACACGGAGAAATCTCCTTTCGGCAGATTCAGCACCCTTAAAATAGCTTCTTTCTGAGACTGAGCTCTGTGATGGTGTCCTGGTCGGTGCTAGTAGGTGACTAACATTTCAGTTTGTGGTTGACACGCATGCCTGCAGCCTTGTCCCACTGTCCCTGTTTACCTCGCGTCCTTTGTTGGTTCACTGGGAGATGTGTTCCCCGCAGGGTGATCTGCTGCCAGCCATAACCAGGCTTGGAGGGGAGGACTTGGTGGTTGGCAGCTGGTTCCAGAGCCCTGGCGAGAAGTGAGTTGGGCCCGCCTGGGGCGTTCCAGCGCGTGCACCAGCAGCTCAGCACATGGCTGCCTCTCCTGGTTCCGAGCTGTGGATCTCTGCTCTTCCTATAATCCTAGGCCTGGTGAGGCTTTCCTTTTCCACTGGCGAGATTGCTTAGCTACCGAGCCTGCAGCTGTTGCGGGGATTCCCAGGGAAGGAGGACTCTTGCTTGGTTCTGGGGGATGCCTTTGGTGCTTTACCCACGTGCTTTTTCGTTTTCAAAAACCTGGAGTTGGCCTTGGAGAAATACACCTAAGATTCTTGAAGAACAAAAATTGGGTTCGATTTGGATCTATCAGAAAAGACTCCACTTCCTGATGCCAATCTGCACATTGATGATGCAGGTTAAATTAGAAATTGGTGTTTGTAAAAGACCAATTACTTCGTCTCAGAGCTTTCTACAGGCTTCTGTTGTGGAATGGTATTTGTATCTATTTGTTTTCCTTGTTAAGAAAAACTACTTTTCTAGTCATCAAAGATGTCTGCCCCCTGAACTCTATCTAGGGAGAAATATTAATGAACAATAAAGGACTTCATGTGTCTAATTGAATAATTAGGCAATTGGTAAGAAATGTGATAGCTAAAATTGGTTTCACCCACTAAAGGAACTAGCGTACATTTAAAAACACAAACCTTCAGAAAAGAGACTAATCTTCATGTCCAGTAGTGTTTGGGGTTAACCCAACAGAAAGGCAAAATATACCAATTTTCAGATTCTTTTATTCATGCCTATACAGAGGGTTATAAGCAGCTGAGGAGACCATAAAATATAGTGTAAGAAAAAAATGGGAATATCAAAGCGATTATTTGAAAAGCAGTTTACATTTGTAAAAGTATTCAATATTATGACCTTGAGCAACTTTTGCACTTGGATGCTGGGTTATTGCACTGGTTTTTGTATATCCCTCTGTGGTGTAGCTTGTATATGGAGCGCAGGGGTGTGTTTAGATTGAACAGGTCTTACTGTATTCCTTTACAGCTGCTCTTAAGTCATCAAAGTATCATCTTGACATCAATGACACTGTTTTTTAATCATTGTTTTGAACATAGAATTATGGATATTCTGAAATGGAAATGTCTTATTTGCCATTCCAAATTTTATTCTCTGTAATGGACTTTTAAAATAAAAGGCCTGTGAGTATACTTTGAGTCCTGGGCTAATTTTCTAGGCATCAGAACACAGAAAAGCAGCCTTGATTAATTTCAAACCGCAAAAGAGGCAGGTAAAACCGTTTTCAGCGGAAATTTACTAATGCAGCAACCCTTTAAATTAAATGTTTGTTAACATAATAGTGATGGCATTTTCTCCTCCTCCTCCTTGTGGTTTTGTCCGACTGGATGTTCCAGTGGCAGTCGCAGCGACTGTTAAGTGTTTAAATGATGACACCATTATGTGAAGTGATTTTGAAATGAGAGATTCCAGCCAAGAATTACATCTGCTCCCATCTCCTTCAAATCATACTCTCTGGCAGTGCAGATTATGATTGATTTGTTTGTGACAGATTGCAGGAAACAGTCATTGATTTTTCAATATTTTACCTTAAAATTATTTACAGTTGTAACCATGGGGAGGTATTTCCATGGGCTGTCAGCCCCTGAAAGACTAGGATAATATTCCCTGCTCTCTGACAAGACAAATTACCTGTAATGAGTGCAGTAGCTGAAGGGTATACTTTTATTTTAAAATATGTCAATAACCCCAGTGACTAAACGAATATTGATTTAGCATAATGAAGCCTGAGTAATGTGAAAATGAGCTTTTTCAAGGGGCTTGGTAAGGACTTTCTTTTTAGCTGGTTAGAAGAAGCTTTTCTTTCTTCCCAGCTAGCTGGTTGAAATCCTGAATTTTAGAAGCAGGAATGGTAGTGTTGCTTGTGATAACTCAATATTTCTTCCTCATTTTAATAATTCTTTTCAAGTCTGATTTTCAACCTTCATTTTTGCCATGGAATAGCTACTGATTTGTTTGATGCTATCTTAAACCGACTTCAGTATCTTTACAATTTCAATATATTTTGCATGGAAACCTCTGGTACTGAATATTAAAATATAACTGTATCCACAGTTGTTTGTAGAGGACATTATAATTGCATGAAGACATTTCAAGTGGGTCATTGTAGTATTTAATGTGCCATATTTTATGGTAGACCGACTTTCAGTCTCTGGACATCAGATTGCATTCCCTGGGAATGAAGATTAATTTACTTAAGAACTGATTTTTTAGGCATCAGTGCAGGTTTTCATTTTTGTTAGACTTTTGCTCTTTTTGGGGGGAGGGGGAGGAGTGTATTAAGATCTCAATACATAAAATCCTTCCAACAAAATAATAGTAAGAGGTATATAACTGCATGTTGATGTGTCCAGGTGTTTGAAGATTTTATATCTGAATGTCTCCATATCTAACTTGGTAGGTGGAAAAATAGGGTAGACAGGGCTGGGAATGCAGGGAGAAAAGTAAGTATTTGAACAAGATGTCAAACTGATATTTCATGAGCACCTAACTCATTCTATGGTAACTAGTAGTCATAAAATCATTAAAATCAATAGGCAAGATCCCTTCAGAAATTAAAAATGAGTTATGATTTAAAGGAACTTCAGATGGCTGTATGAATGCAAGCTCTCCTACGGCATGGCATATTTCTTATATGGAAATTATAAATACATCTTTTGATGGCAGAAAGGATAGACTCGAGAGTATAAAATAATTGTGTTTTTCCCCCCAGGAATTTGCCTAAGGGCATGACACAGATGCTCTCTGCCACTGTCTTTGTTGTGTTCTTAAATGAACTGGGTGCTTCACGAAATCCTGCACTTTGGATTCCACATGCTACAAGATTTCATGTGGCCATCGTTACCTGCCTCCCATGTCCTTTCTCTTTTTCTACAAAAGTAGTTTTAAAATCCAGAAATATGAGGAATGTGCCGTCATCGTATATGAAACTAGTAGGCCCAATTCTTCAACGATTGATTTGGTCTTATGGTTTTTTTAAATCAACGCAGAATCCATAGAATGACTTATGTCTTCCAGAAAAAATAATTTAGATTTTTCTTTCTCAATAGATTTTTGAATAAAGCATATTTTCTTCAGGCAGATCTATGCCAAGAAAACACCTATGTTGTTGTTTAGTTTGGAGTAAAATTAAAAATGCATTAAAATCAATACTTTCTTACCCCACCATTTAGTTTGAACATGTGTGCTCATTTTACGGCACACAGAGAACTGTTTATGTGAGTTAAGAAATGTGTAGGTAAAGTGAAGTTTTTTTCTGGGAAAATTATTCTCTTCTGGATACTATGCCCTTCTCTCTTTTTCTTTATTTTTTCCCCCTTGAAAAAAAATTACCCTGCTCCTGTGCTTCTTTAGGGAACAACTATTTATATAAAAAAATTTAAATTATGCAAGTCATTGCCTGGGGTTAGTTAAAACACTTGTTTTTGAAAATGAGAAAATACCCCTGCCTTAAAAAATCTTTCTTATATTTGTATCTATTAAGATAAACAGTTTACTTTGATACGGTACATACCAACCTATTTAGTTAATTATTTTTCCAGAATTCACTTTACTGTGTTTCGTCTAACCTTTATGATAACTTAATATAGGGACAAATTAGCATATAATTCTATTTTCCATGTTCTCAACCAGTTGCAGAATTGTACCACCACCATTGGGGGCCCCTGGGTAGTCCATGTAGACTGTAGTATGAAATGTTTATAAGTGTTCCGTGCGGCCTGGCTCGTGTTTTTGTTACCAAAAATGTTTTAAAGTAAGCAATTAGAAGAAACACTTCACCCCATTACTGAGTTATTAAAATACCTCCTAAGGTAGCATTTTTAATTAGTGTAATAATTGATTGGTGATTTGTCTTCTCCCAGGCAGAAGCCGCCTGGTGAAGTTCAGTGTGATCAGGAAGTATAAGGTACTGGGGACTGACAATGGCAGTGACCGTGACAACTAAATGGTTTTTTTTTCCCTTTTAGATTCAGCCATCAGTCTTTGAAATTTCCTGACATCCGTTTCAGTCTAAATGGAAAAGAATTGGAAAAATCAAGCGCTCAGGGGATTTAAATATGTTTTGAACGTTTCTGTTTATAGAGGACAGTATTTTTCCAGTTGAGCTCCTCGTGTCCATGTAGGGGAAGGGTAAACTCTTCTTCATCATCAATTTTATTGAAAATGCTTTTGATAAAAAATGTTGCTGAAATGATTTCTGTTTGAAACAAAGTGAAGGAAAAAATGAAATAAATTTTATATGGTGACTGTTTTTCTAAAATGTCTTTATTGGATTGAATGAATATTTAGATCTGAAAAAGAGGGTCCAAAAGAATCCCTTTATCTCAGTAATTCTGTCAGATAGCATTAGAGGTGTTTAAGATCACTTTCTAATATGACTCCATTAGAGTTATTGGACATAAAAGTCTTGAAAGGTATCATATGTGTATTTTAATTCTCTATATTGGCCCCTGTGGGACGGAACATTTCCTTCCTGAACAGCTCTATTAGTGCCA